TCATGTCTCCCTTTGATGCAGCTAGGGTAAATTATTTTTGTATATAGAGTTGAAATAGATTTGGAAATGTTTCTCTATACTATGCATTATATTTTCAACAACATCCCCTCCTAATCTTCCCCCCACTCACCTTTATCAAATCCAATTTGTATTATTTATAAAAGTGCAGATAAGGTCTGAGTATGTCTGTGTTCATGTGTGAGCATGTGAGCAGCATCTGTGTGTAGAGAAAGAGAGACTCAACAGGAGTGAGGAAGATGTTGGTGTCTATTATGTGAAGAGAGTCTTCTCTGTTACAGCAGAGACAATCCATGGCCAGGGTACCATGTGGACAGAACCCCCTGAGGTGAGGCTCTCCTCTTTTATTTATCTCTGCAGTCCCTGCCCCTCCTCACACATATTCTCCAACATCACCCTTCCTATGATCTGACATATACTTCCCTCAAGCGATGCTTTTCTTTTCTGTTAATCACACTATGTCTGTTTGGTTGGCTACTTCCTATATAAATCCTAACTTTAGCTTCCCCACCACTTTCTCCAAATCTGCTCAATTTGTATCAATCTTTTCCTCATATTGCAAGGCCATTTTTCCTACATTTTTGCATCAAATACTTTTGTAAAACTTTGATCACCCTGTTTCCCACCAGGAGTTTTTCTTGTTACATTTACCTTTTTTATATTTTCCATCAGATGGAGAGACCTGGACTGAGGATCAATTAATTATAAAGTAGAAAACTGTTGCAGTAGGGATGCAACTACATGAAGGAGATGAATGTGAACAAAACAAACACAGGGCCTTGAATATGGACAAAACTTTGGAAATATTGCAGACTTTATCCAACAGCCACAAATTCTTACTGAAGAGAAATCTCAGTTCAGTAATAGATGCAGAAAATTATTCTGGCAGAGCTCATACCTTATTAGCATTTTTACTTTGGTTAATCCTCACCAAAGGATATTTTTCCATTGATTTTTAGAGAGAGTGGAAGGGATGGGGAGAGACAGAGAGAGAGACACATAGAGAGAGAAACATCTATGTGAGAAAGACACATCGATTGGTTACCTCCCATACACGCCCTGACCAGGGTAGAGGCTGGAGCACAGGTACATGCCCTTGACTGGAATCGAACCTGGGACCCTTCAATTCGTGGGCCGATGCTCTATCCACTGAGACAAACCAGCTAGGGCTCATACCTTATTCAGCATGAAAAAAATCCACACACAAGAGAAATATATTATGAGTATCATGACTGTGGAAAAGCCTTTGGCCATAGTTCAAACCTTAGTCAGCATCAAAGAGAATACATGTTGAAGAGAAACCCTGTAATGTAGTGGCTGTGGGGAGACCTTCCGGAGCAGCTCACACTTTATCCAGCATCAGATAATTCAAACAGGTGAGATGTCTTATGTGTATAATGAACGTGGAAAAGTTTTTGGTTGGAGTTCAAGTCTATTTGACATCAGAGAATCTATACTAGGGAGATACCCTATTAATGTACTGAATGTGGTAAGGCCTTTAGTCAGAGCTCAAATCTAATGGAACATCAGCAAGTTCATACCAAAGAGAGACCATATGAATGCAATAACTGTGGGAAAAATTACAGTCATAAGTCACACCTTATTGAACATCAGAGAGTCCATACTGGGGAAGCTCCTTACAATTATAATGAGTGTGGGAAATCTTTTAGTAGAAGTTGATGCCTTATTAAATATCACAGAATTCACACTGGAGAGAGACCCTATGAATGTAGTGAATGTAGAAACTCCCACCTCATTCAGCATCAGAAGACTCACAGTGGGTCAAACCTCTGAATGTAAAGAATGTGGGAAAACCTTCAAGCATAATTCATACCTTATTGATCATCTGGAAATTCATACAAGTGAGAAACTGTGAATGAAATGAAGGTGGTATCACCTTTGGTTGGAGTTCAGCTCCTATTGAACATCAGAGAACTCACCCTGGGGTGTAGTGGGTGTGGACAGCCTTCAGTCCTAGTTCAGCTTTTATTATATTAAGACCTGAAAGTCCACATAGTGGACAGATCTCATGTTTGTGTTTAGTGTATGAAAACCTTTAAATTCAGTTCCTGCCTTATTCAGCAGGTTCACTTTGGAGGAATGATGGAAATGGGAAAACACCTAGCTGTGTGTCAGAGAAGGGCACAAAAGGGGCACACTGCAGCACTAAAGCTGATGACTAAAGTGGAACCTCAGTACTACTTTCATTTGCTGTGAGGATCTCCATCAGAGGCAGGTTCTACGGTTTGCTTTTCAAAACTCTAGTCATCTGCTGAAAATGGAATGAGTTAGGACTATTCCAGGGAAGAAAGAATCAGGGAGTTTGGGATTCAGACTCCTAGATCAGGAAAGTGATATGTGATGTTTGAACCCAATAGCTTTTCTTGTATCTCATCTGTCCTGTTTGTTATAACTGTAGATAGAAATGGCTTTGGGTTTTCTTGAGACAATGTATCACTCCTCAATGTCCTGCAGACTACTGGACCTCTTTGTTTAATGTGACACAAATACACTTAATAAATGTGCAGGTTGCCCCAGCTAGTTTGGCTCAATGGATAGAGTATCTGCCCGTGGACTGAAGGGTCCCATATTCAATTCCCGTTAAGGGCACTTGCCCAGATTGGGTTGCAGGCTAGACCCCCAGTAGGGGGCATACAGGAGGCAGCCAATCAATGATTCTCTCTCATCATTGATGTTTCTCTCTCCTTCTCCCTTCCTCTCTGAAATCAATAAAAAATAAATAAATAAATAAATAAAATAACTGTGCAGGTTTTCTAAGCCAAATAATTTCTCAGCATGGCATGTCATGACTTTATGTGTCAGCTTGGGTAGCTTGAACTGCATTTTCCAGAATTCCTTTTCTTGTATGCTTCAGTTCATATGGGCTACAGACGTGGGAGATTTGGAGGGCAGAAGAAAAGCAGCAGTTATTTTGTAACTCAAACTCACTGCTGATCTGCTGACTCACCTCACTGGCCCCAATCAGCAGATGAGCCAGGTGTGCATCTTCCTGGCTCTGCTTCTCTGTCTGAATCCTAGCAACACACATACTATCCTTATGAGAAATACATATTTGTTTCATATTTGGATGGAAAAAATAGTGAACTTATAGCTGTTTTTTTTTTAAAGACTAATAATTTCAAGATTTCCTATTAGAAAAAAGCTACTGTTCAAGCTCCTTTAACAAAAATTCCATTATAACCAAAGGTAAAGCTTCAACACCATGTAATTATCGAGGAAAAGGTTTGCAAAGCAATGAATAGTGTGATATCTAGTTGATTGATAAATAAAAGGGAAAAAAGTTTGAGCCCTTATTTACCATGAATATTTTAATCATTAAAAGAAGTTCCAAAGTACCTCTACTTAGGTAGTGCAGTATTAGGTCTATTCTGGGTATCTGAGAGGAGTAAGTCAACTCCGAGACCAAGCTTACCTGCGCGGGCCTGGGGGCCAACGGAAGCCTGGACCTCGAGCCCAAGGGGCAGACGAGCGGGAGGTGGGGGCGGGGCGGGGGTTGGTTCCACTGCTCTGGGGCCTCCTGGAGGGAAGGAGGGAAGCCCAGCCCGGAGACTGGGAGACCCTGACGGTGGCCCAGAAGAGGAAGGGGAACCGAGGGTGAGTGGAGGTAGCTTTAACGGGTGGGGAGGGGGCAGACACGCAGAAGACGCCCTCTGCTCCCCAGGGCTAAACATAACCCGTTGAGCTGTTGAGACCCACAGGGTGGTGTCTGGGGGTGGATGGCCTGGTTGGGGCCCATCTTTGGGTCTGGAAAATGTCACTGACTTTGGGGTCACGGAAGGTCTGGGCAGAGGAAGGTTGAAAGCGGGAGGAAAGGCCTCCTCTGCAAGGTCCAGACGGTTCCCACCTGGTCTCTCCCCTCTTCCCACGGTCTCTCCCCTCTTTCCTTTATGCGCCCACCTCTTTACCCCTCAGCACAGTTTCCAGCTGTCTCTGGGGGTGCACAGGGCCTGGGGAGGTAACCGGGCTGCACTCAGGCTGTTTCAGGGAGACTCCCAGAGGGGGCCCGGATTGAGGATCCTCTCCCCAAGCCCTTGGTTCTCAGATGCTGTTCCTGGCCTCACGGAGGAGTACTAAGCTCTTCTGCCTCCAGTGTCTGAGGTCCTTTTATTTATTTTTTAAAAATATTTTTATTGATTTCTGAGAGGAAGGGAGAGAGAGAAATAGAAACATTAATGATGAGAGAGAATCATTGATTGGCTGCCTCCTGCACGCCCCCTACGGGGCATCGAGCCCACAACCAGGGCATGTGCCCTTGACTGGAATCAACCTGGGACCCTTCAGTCTGCAGGCTGATGCTCAATCCACTGAGCCAATCTGGCTAGGGCCTGAGGTCCTTTAAAAATAATTAAAACAGTCAATGATAGTAGATGACAGGTTTGTTTGTTTTTTGTATGCCCTTACAAAATAAAAAATGGCCATCCTTCTGCTATTCTCTCTCCCTTTCTCACACATGCACCTGAACATAGATAGCTATTAGAGAAAATCTCGGGTTCCATTAAATTTCACATTTGTAAATCACTGAGCTGAACTGCTGGCCAGTAGGGGCTGGCGAAATGGGAGAGGCAGCTACGTGTTTTTCTGGTCCCTGGTCCTCACCGACTAACGGTGGGACCCTGGACCAGTGGAGTCTGCTCTCCTGCTGTTTCTTCACCAGTACAAAGGACTCTACAAATCCCCTCTATGTTAAAATGTCGGTGGTCGAGTCTGGCTTATATCAGTGCATTTCCAAAATTGTCCAATCTCAGCACTAAGGGCTGTTCACATGCACACGGAACCCTGGCCTATCCTCAGAGAAAGGTGAACAAGGCCCACCTCACTGGAGAGCAAGGTTGGGGGTAGAAGAGGGGTTGCGTGGGGTGGGGAGTGCAGACAGGAGGTGGAACACTGGGTGGCCTGTGGTAACCCCAGGCTGGGGAGAGGAAAGTACTGTGTCAATATAATGTGTTTATTTGTTTCTCTCTGCAGTAGTTACCAAGAGCCTGCAAATTCCTGGCCTCCCCCCAACCCCCTCCTGTATTGTTCCCATTGGCCTAAAATGGGCATGGGGCGTCCAGTAAGTGTACAGTTAATTTTTGTGGAGGGAATGGATAATGGTTGGTAGCTGGGAGGTCTACATGGAGTGGACAGACAGGATCAAGCTGAGCTTTGCAGGAGAGGTGGGATTGAGAAGGTCTGGAGGAGCAGAGAGGGCACCCTCAGGGAAGGACCCCAGGCATGGAAGCTGCAGATGCTTGCGGGGGTGCGGGGGGGGGGGGGCGGGGAGGAGGTGTTCCAGGACTAGAGGGAGACACAAGGGGTGTGGGGGCAGGAAGGGTACATGATTGGGAAATTTTGTGAAAACTGAGAAGACAAGGAAGGCTGATGAGCTGGGAGCATGAGAGAAAGGGAGAAGCCAGAATGAGCTCCTGGCTATAGTGTGGGCGATGGAGAGGATGACTGAAATAGGGACTATGCTCAGGTCAGTTTTAGACAAGTTGAGGTTTTTGGGAATAGACAGGAAGGGGTACAGACTATCAGATGAAAATGTCCAGGGTACTCCATCTCATCCAGAACATGGGGGTCAATGTGTAGCCATGACTCCTACCTGGAGAGTTTTATAGCTGGGACTCAGCACTCTCTGGTCCCACCTATTTCATAATTGTAAAGCAAAGGGAACTGAGGCCCTGAAGTTCAGGCGACTCATCAGTAGACATGGAGGGTGGAGGGGAGATCAAAAGGGTAGCTTTGGAGAGAGGGAAGGATCCATTCTTTCAGGTGGGGAGAAGAGAAACTGGTAAGTGACAGAAAGGAGGAGAAAGCACATTAGAATGTTTCCAAAGCATTAAACATTTATAAACAGCATAGTTAGGTGGGAAGGCTGGGAGAGCACCCACACTTCTGTCCTCTGCCTTTAGACTTGTCTTCTTTTTTCTTTTTTTAAAAAAAAATATATATTTTTTATTTTTTTGACAGAGAGGAAGGGAGAGGGATAGAGAGTTAGAAACATCAATGAGAGAGAAACATAGATCAGCTGCCTCCTGCACACCCCCTACTGGGGATGTGCCCTCAACCAAGGTACATGCCCTTGACCAGAATGGAACCTGGGACCCTTCAGTCCACAGGCCGACACTCTATCCACTGAGCCAAACTGGTCAGGGCTAGACTTGTTTTCTATAGTGATCAACAGTTCTCAAAGTCTCAAAGACACTCCTGGTCCCAGCTGCAGTGAGGGGTGTCTGTATTGAGGACCATGGAGAGGCCCAGATGCGTGAGGATGAGCAAGGGTGCTTGTACAGGATGCAGAGAGGTAAGAGCAGCGCCTTCACTCCGAGGACCCTGTCTTCAGTAGTCATCATGCACAGCTTGAATCCTTGGTGCTGCCAAGCACTGCCTGGCTTATACAGGAGTCTCTAGGCCTGGCTATGGGCATGACTTGGAAAGAAGAGCTGTTCTGTTGTCTTAGGGTGCCCCTCATCTCCCTTGTCATGTGTCTCTCTCTCCTCCTGAAGCCTCCCTTCTGCACCACCAAGTGGGCAGGGTCATCACAGTGCTATCTGGATACATTCTGACCAGGCCTTCCCTCCCTGTAGCACCACGAGCTCCTACTCAACTCCTCTCCTTCCTCCACATGTTCCTCTCCACCTTGGGGAAAACTCATTCCTCAGGGCTGCCAGGCTTGGCAAAGGCAGAGAAGAACGCAGACTAGTTGAATACATTTTCCTTTAGACTGTGAATGGCCACTAGCCCCTTTTTCAACAGGAATATTTGAATTTTAGGAGAAGTCCATCTCCTTCCCCTGCTCCCCCTCCCCCTTTAACCAAGCACTTGAGTCCCAGCACTGTGCTTGACCCTTCAGTACGCAGTATTTCATTTGGCCCTCCCAGTGACCCACCGGGCATTATATCCTCCCTCTTCCAAATGGGAGACCCAAACTCCTGAGGGTTTTAGCAAGCTTCACGAAGTTACACAGCTAGCAAGTGATAGAGCAGGGATGACAGTCGAGGGCTTCTAAAGCCAAGTCCAGCCAGTTCTTATCGTCTACATCTCAGGTGCTCATTTAAAAGAAGGCATCTTTTTTTTAAAAAAAATGTATTTTTTATTGATTTCAGAGAGAAAGGGAGAGAGAGAGAGAGAAACATTAACGATGAGAGAGAATCACTGATCATCTGCCTCTTGCACACCACACACTGGGGATGGAGCCTGAAACCTGACATGTACCCTGACTGGGAATCTAACCATGACTTCCTGGTTCATAGGTCGAGGACGCTCAACCACGGAGCCACACCAGCAGGGCAAAAGAAGGCATCTTTAATGACAGGTGGTGGTCAAGGAGAAGATATGAGGGATCCTTAACTAAGGGCCTGACCTCCAGGCCTAGAGGATACCTGGGGCTTCAGGAAGGTCTCTGAGACTTTTAAACTATTTGCAAAACTTGCTCTGTGCATATGATCTGCTCATTTTTCTGCAGATGGCTCCTCCTGGCCCGGTGGACCCTTTCCCATCTAAACCCAGCATCCTGAAGCAAAAGGGCCAATCACTGAGTAAGGGCACTTCAGACCTGGTCTTACCTCCCCCTGGTCCTCATTCTGAAATCTCAAAAGGCAAACAGCTGACTGAAGAGGGCGTTGGAGAGGTTCTTCTGTGGGTAATAACAATTGAATGGTTAGAACTTTAGAGCTAGGAGAGATTGCGGACAGCGTAGTCCAACCTCCTCATTTTACAGAGGTGGAAAAGGGGACCCTACATGCCTAAGGTCATCCGGTGAGTCAGTGGCAGAAAAGGTCTATGTTATTTTAGGTCCACTGAAGAGGTCTGTAAGACTGTTAAGTTTATTGAGGCAAAGAGATCAGCATTCACTGAGCCTCACATATGTGTTCGCATTTCCTTAGATGCTATCTCCTTGTACCACATGAGTATTGGGAGTATGTGCGCCCACCTCTTGCCCTCACTTTTCCCTTACACAGGTGATACTGACTTTAGAGGACAAAAACATAAAGGGCTTCACATGGGCCATAGCCCCCGCCTTGACTGCTTTGGGCTACCTGCTCATACTGCTGGTCACCATCTTCCCCTTCTGGGTGCGCCTTGTGAATGAGGAGTCCCGTGAAGTGTTTTACAGTGGCCTGTTTGAGAACTGCTTTCATATCAAGTGCTGGAAGCCTCGACCCTTATCCAGTAAGGAGAGATGGAGGCAGGGACTGGGGGAGAGATGGGGCTGTTGCAGGAATTGGGGGTGGCAGACAACAGGCTTTAATAAGCCCATAAGGGCATTTTTCTCTGAGTCTCCACTCCTTTGGGGTTAAAGGAAAGTAGGCAGCTGGGAGGACGTTAATAATGCCAGGCTGACACCAGAGTCAGGAGCCAATGTGTCAGAAGCAACAAAGTTTATTTCTGGGGAAAAGAGTAGCCCAACATGAGATGGGGCGGCGGGCGGGATCCTGCCCTCCTCTGTGAGGCTCTGCCACCTCTCAGGCTGCCATTGGCCCATCCAGGCAGCATCCGTTAGGCACCACTCCTAGTCAGGGGAGCAGCCTGGTTAGCAGAGCCTCCACTTGTCCCCTTGGCCACACACCTGTCCATCTCTGGGTGGCAGCTCTGCAGATACTGTGCTCAGGCCTGGGTACCACATTATCAAGGAGGCACTTGAGACCATGTTTTATAAGGAACTTGGAAAGTGTCTGTCTTGGAAAAGAGGTGACTCTGGGAGACCTAGGAATTATCTCCTGGTGATAGGAAAGAAGAGCCACCTTGGGGAAGAAAGGCCAGACTGTGTGAGCTCTTTGATCCAGGGTTTCTCAACCTTGGCACCACTGACATTTGTGGTTGGGTAATCTTTGATGTGGGGGCTCCCCCGTTTCTTACAGGTTAATAACAGCCCTGCCCCTCTTCTACCCACTAGATACCAGTAGAATCCTCCCTGCATTAATTGTGGCAGACAAAATTACTTCTTGGCATTGCCAAATATCTCCCATGGTGGGGGGGAGGCGGTTGTCTCTGGTTTAGAAGCACTGTTTTAACCCAAGGGTAGACTCTAGAACTCTGGGTCTTCAACAATACCTTTGTCTCTTTGTTTTCCCCCCAGCTGTCCATTTCTGCATGCTCAGGAAAGGATACAAACTCATTTTAACATGGGTCTGAATCATGCCAACAGTAGGAGAATAAGACACCCTGTCTTTAAGACTCTGGCTCTGCTATTTCGGGTCTGTTTCATTACTTCTATTAACCAGGATAATTATAGGGGTTTCCTGCAGCGTTCAGAACATCTTGACTTTCCACCAGTGACTTGTACAGCGTGATCAATACAGATGTGATTCCTCATGTTTCCTTGTGTAACAAATTTTTTTTTAAAATATATTTTATTGATTTTTTACAGAGAGAAAGGGAGAGAGATAGAGAGTTAGAAACATCGATGAGAGAGAAACATCGATCAGCTGCCTCCTGCACATCTCCTACTGGGGATGTGCCTGCAACCCAGGTACATGCCCTTGACCGGAATCGAACCTGGGACCTTTCAGTCCGCAGGCCGACGCTCTATCCACTGAGCCAAACCGGTTTCGGCGTGTAACAAATTTTACCACCAGGGTTTTATTTTAATACTTTTTTTTTTAAAAAAAAAAATGATTTTAGGAAGGGTGTGGGATAGAGAGAAACATCAATGAGAGAGAAACATCGATCAGCTGCCTTCTGCATGCCCCTTCTGGGGATCAAGCTCACAGCCTGGGCATGTGCCTTGACTGGGAATCGAACCAGTAACCTCTTGGTTCATGGGTTGATGCTCAACCACTGTGCCACCCTGGCCGGGCTATTTTATGTTGTTTTTAAAAACTACCATTTGTCCATCTAAATTTTTTTGTTTGTTTACTTCCATGTCATGGGGAACAAAATGGGGCCAGAGCATTCTTGGGGCCAAAGTGGCAGGGTCAGAACCTTGGCCCCAGACCACATATTGGGGAGCTCCAGGGGCCATCCCTGCCAAGGACCTGGGGGGCTTCGTGGGCTCTGCCCTTTGGGGTCAGGGTGCCCAGCACTTGCCTACTCTCCCTCCCCTGCAGTTTACATCATCCTCGGCCGAGTTTTCCTGCTGTTTGCAGTCGTCTTGTCTTTCCTCACCACCCTCACCATGGTGTCTTTTGCATCTCAGCTCTTTCCAAGGACCTGGAAGCAAACTTTTTTATCAGCCTCCATCAGCTTCTTCACAGGTGTGGAGCAGGCAGGCAGCCATGGGGAAGGTTTGGGGAGGGCTCCAAAGGCAGGTGGGGGAGTTAAGGGGGAGGGGAGAGGTCTCTGTGATGTTAGGAGAGAGGATTTGAAGGCCCCTCTCTTTTGTTGGCTTCTCTATGAAGTAGCCCACCCTCATACCTGCCCCCTCTGTATTTATGATCCCTTTCTTTGGGGCTTTTCTGTTCTTCATACTTCCAGCTAGCATAGTCCTTGCCACATTGATTGGGGTCATTTGTCTGGTGGCCTTTTACCATCATCTCTATCCCAGTGACTGGCCTAGAGTCTAGAATAGAATTCTAATATAATTGAAATATATGATCTAAATAAAATATAAATGTTTCTTAGATGAATGAATGGAAGGGACTATCTCTGTCCTCTGGAACCTCTGACATTAAAAGGTTGACCAAGGCCTTCCCCTGCCATGAAAGGGCTGGAAGGCTTATGGTGGGAGAATCAGGTTGAGTTTCATCCAAAGCATCACACCCAGAGGGCCCAGGCTGAGTCAGCTGAGGTCATGAGCACGGAGGGTACCCAGGAAAAGGATTTCTGATTAGGGAGGTGAGGCACATGGGCTTTGAGATGAGTTGGGAAAAGAGGGCAAGACAGGTATGTGGGGTGGAAGTTATTGGCTCTAGAGGGCAAGGTGTGCCAGCAAGAGAAAGGAGCCTCCATGCAGGAGCCACATGGCTCTGTCTAATTAAGTCCGAGGAAAGGCTGGAGTGAAGGCAGAACCACAGGAGGAGATGAAGCGTACTTCCCTGTGACCCTGCAGGGACTTGTGCTTTCCTGGCCTTGCTGCTGCATGCCCTGGAGATCCAGAGTCTGAGGATGCAGCCCCGCCCGCCCCAGTTCTCTGTGCAGTGGCCTTACTATGTCCTGGGCTTTGGTATCCTTCTGTTCATAGTGGCTGGTGAGTGTCCTGGAACTGGTGCCCCTCTCCCTGCCCTCGGTCTGGATTCAGGAGCCTTGCTCTAGAGCTGCGCTGTTCAAAACGGCAATCACTCACTACATGTGCTATTTAACTTAAATTCATTAAAGTGAAGTAACATTAAAAATTCTGTGCCTCAGTCATATGAGACACATTCCAAATATTCAATAACCACATTATTCGGTGTCTAGTGGCTACCTCACTGGATGGTAAAGATACAGAAATTTCCATTGTCATAGAAAGTTCTACTGATAGCACTGCTCTAGAGCTTCAACCCAACCTTCCATCCTTGTCCTTTCCAGTTCTTATCCCGCTTGACTTGAGAATCAGACTCTTCCAAATTTTCATACTCTCCCTTATTCATAATATCCTGGTTCCTGAGGCTTTCCAGGCCTACCTCTATCTCTATCCTGAAATCTAAGATCCTATTCCTCACCCTACCCCCTTTATCTTTACATACCATCGCCATCCTAGTTTATAGTCCTAATTTTGCTCTATTATCTCTGCCTGCTATGTTAACCTGACCCATGATTATAATCTATTTTTAAAAATGTGTTTTTATTGATTGAGAGAGAGAGAGAGAGAGAGAGAGAGAGAGAGAGAGAGAGAGGAAGGGAAGTGAAGGGATGGTGGGAGAGGCAGAGAGAGAGAATGAAAGAGAGAGAAACATCAATGTGAGAGAGACACATCGATAGCCTGCCTCCTGCACACCCCCTACTGGGGTTTAAGCCCATAACCCAGGCATGTGCCCTAACTGAGAATCGAACTGGTGACATTTTGGTGCATGGAATGAAGCTCAACCAATTGAACCATACTAGCCAGGGCATGATTATAATCTATTTTAACTCAATTTTATTATACATTGAATATATAATAAAGAATATCCTATATAACAAAAGGCCAGAGAACGCAACGGCATCACGACCATAACAACCGTTAGACCAGAACCACCATGGCCCCTCCCTTGGCTGGCCCTGCCTGCCAGCAAGTGGTTAGGGGTGATCAGGCAGGCATGCAGAGTGGTTAGGGGTGATCAGGTAGGCAGGCCAGCAGTTAGGGACAATCAGGTAGGCAGATGGCCCCTGGCAGGGCTGGCCCTACCCCCCAGCAAGCAGTTAGGGGCAATCAGGCAGACAGGCAGAGTGGTTAGGGATGATCAGGCAGGCAAGCAGGTGAGTGGTTAGGAGCCAGAGGTCCTGGATTGCAGTTGGACATCCCCCGAGGGGTCCTGGATTGAAGAGGGTGCAGGCCAGACTGAGGGACAACACCCCCCCATGCACGAATTTAATGCACTGGGACTCTAGTTTATAATATAACTGTAAGATATAAGTACTAAATAGTGATTAAAAATAAACTGCACATCCATATTTCCACTATATAGTTTAAGAGGTAGCCACATTTCTTAAATGTTTATGTACACCCTTGTTTATGTACACCCTTATTTTATGTACCACTGAGAAAGAAAAGTTGATGCCAAGTATAATTCTAAGATGCTATAGCTTATAAGATACATCCTCATTTCAGAGATGTTAATCTTCCCCCGAGGATATTTTTTAATATACATACATATATATATATATATATATATATATATATATATATATATATGTATTTAATATTTTTATTGATCTCAGTGAGGGAGAGGGACACTTCAGTGATGAGACAGAATCATTGATCAGCTTCCTCCTGCACGCCCCCTACTGGGAATGGAGCCTGCAACCAGGGCACATGCCTTGACCAGAATTGAACACTGACCTCACAGTTCATAGGTTGACACTCAACCACTAAGCCACACCAGTCGGGCTAGAGGATATTTTTTCCACTGGTTTTTAAAGAGAGTGAAAGGGAGAGGGAGAAATCTCCATGTGAGTGAGACACATAGCTTGGTTGCATCCCGCATGTGCCTCTACAGGAGTGGGAATCGAGCCTGCAACCGAGTACATGCCCTTGACTGAAACTGAACCTTAAGTCTGTGGAATGACACTCTCACCACTTAGAAAAACTGACTAGAGCTGGAACTTGACATTTTCTCTCCTTTTAAATCCTCACCCGAGGATATGTTTTTATTTATTTTAGAGAGAGAGAGAGAGGAAGGGAGAGAAACGTCGATGTGAGAGAGAAGCATCAATTGGCTGCCTCCCTTATGCAATCCAACTGGGGATTGAACCCATAACCTAGGTATGTGCCCTGACTGGGAATTGAATCCACAAAATTTTTGTGTATGGATGAAGCTCCAACCAACTGAGTAGGCACTTAACACTTTAATTCCAAAACACACACACACACACACACACACACACACTTGAATTCCCCTCTAAGAATTGCTTTATTTGCAGCTCTGCTTTTAAATGTGTAGTATTTTTTTGTTGTTACATTTCAAATATTTTCTAGTTCTCCTTATGATTTCTTCTTTGATCCCTGAAATTTTTAAAAATTTTGAAGCACAGAATTTTTATTGTATCTGTGTTTATTATTTTAACCTAATTTCAATTTGATGAGAGATCATGGTCTAGATAATCCTAATATTTTTGGATTATTGAGACTTGCTTTATAGCCTAGTTTGAGGTCTGTTTTCATGTTGAATGCAATCTTTTATCTTTTTAATAAACATCAGACCAAGCTTGTTTATTGTTTAAATCTTGTCAGAGGCTTACCAATTTTAGTCTTCAAAGAACCAGCTTTTAGCTTTATTGAACCTTCATATTTGATGTTTGTTTCCTATTAGTTAATTTTTACTTCTAATTTTGAACTTCCCTCCTTAAATTTTTGCATTTATTCTGCTACTCCTTTTTAAACTTTTAAAATCAGGATCTAAGCCCATTGATTTAGACTTGTTATATTTTACTAGGGAATTGAACTTTTTATCATTATCTTTTTTATTTCTAGTAATGCTTTGTTGTAAAGTCTGTTTTATCTAATATTACTATAGCTACTTCTACATTTTAGGTTAATATTTACCCGTTATATTTTTTAAACCTTTTACTTTAAAATTTCCTCTGTCTTTATGATTTGGATAGCTTTTATAAATAGATTTTAACTGAATTTTTTCATCTAGTCTTTTGATCATTGTCTTTTAACTAGAGCATTTAATTGACTTACATTTATTGTGACTACTGATATATTTGTATTTTTTCTGTCACTTTAATTTGTATTTTCAGTTCTTTTATCCTCCTTCCTACTCCCAAATCTCTTACTTGTTTTGGATTGATTGAATTATATGTATATAGTTCTTACTATATTTCTAGCTTCTTTAGTTCCAAAGGCATATGGTCATTTTTACATATAAATAGGAATTAGAATGTTAAGCAAGAACACAATTATTTTTGACATTTTAAAATGCTTACTTAACTAAGTTGAAAGATAATCAACAGTTATTCTCTACATAAATAATAAAAGGACCCCCTCAAGGCTATATGCTATTTTGTCCAATGTTTTAATTTCTTCTTCTTTTTTTTTTTTTTAAATCCATACATTTGGTATTATTATTTTATGCATTTAATATTTGTTTGTTTAAATTTAACCACATATTTACTAATTTAGTTGCTCATCAAACCTTCTTAGGCCTTTTATCTAAGATCATTATCCTTCTGCTTGAAATACATTCTTTATTATGCTTTTTAATAATAGTGAATTACAAAAACACTCTCATAATTGGTTGCACATTAAATAATATATTATTTAAGAATGTATATGTTTGTAGTAAATACTGTTATCATAAGTTTCATAATAAATGGCTCTGGAAGGGAGAAAAGATGAAGGTATCAGGAAGAGCCAGATTAGGGGTGGGGGTGGGGGGAGGAGACTTCAAAGATACATAATGTTCTACCATATTTCATTAATTTTGACAAACCAATTTTTTTAGGAATAAAAAAGCACATAACTTCAGATGCAGCACAAATTAAGAAAACATTTTGAATAATTTTATATCAATAAATTTTAAAACTTAGATAAAAATGTATAAATGTATAGAAATATATAAATTACTAAAATTGACTCAAGAAGAAATAAAAATACCTGAATAGTCCTGTATTTTTAGTGTTTCCTGATTGCTTCTGCCTGGCACACAGGTGCATAACTAGCCTATGATCACAAACAAAATACATAAATATTGTGAATTTAGCTATGAATGCATTTAACAACTAGCCTATATTTATGAATTCTTGGTCCGCACAGGTAACTTTGAAGTTCCAGTTTCAAATGACAGACTTTTATTAGATTCTCCTCTTGAGAAGGCTTTTTCTGCTATTTTTTGTGCCCCAAATGGCCAACAGAATGGTAAATCAGAGTCACCTGGGTTGAGTGTGTCTCTTCAAGGTGAAAGCTAATTGTGTCCTTGCTTAACACTCTAATTCCTATTTTTATTATGGTTTTGGCTTCTAAGAAAATTTTGCTCTGATGCCAGCTTAATGATGCATTTATAAAGACATTTTTTTCTCTCTCTTTTTTTTTGCTTCCAAGTGAATTCATTTAAGTACCAAATCGAATTTGCTGATTTTAAGTCCTATTCCCCTCTTTGTGACAGTTTTAGTGACCAAGGTATTGGTTCATTTCATGTCAACCCAATGAGAAGTCTTGATGGATACAGGATTCATAAGGTTGAAACAGAATATACAATTCTAAAGTGTTCAGTTCATATTTAGGAGAGGGCTCTAATATGACCAGAAAGATTGAGCCAATTTTAGTATAAAAAATTAAGGCTAATTACCAATGAGGTTGACTATGCAGTGAGAGCTAAAGACATTAACATCACAGACATGTTGGAACGCCATGAAATATTGACAGAAAAATCATCCTGGAGCTTAAAAGGACAGACATGGTGAGATCTGGTCATTGCCTTCTGCAGTCAAGGGCCTCAAGCCTTGGAGAACCGCTGGGTCTTCAGGCATGTTGTAAACATTGTTCTCAAAGCAAATATTTCCCTGTGCTTGGTAGTGCACTGCAGTTCCATTTTGGGAAGTTCCGGTCTGAGGTTCTTTGCTTATTTGCAACACCATTCTTTTCCCACATAAATATTTTTTGGTAAGTATGGCAGCCAAAATGGTGAACAATATCATGGCAGCAATGCAGAGTCCAATGTACAACTTACTGGTGTTCCTCTGTATATTTTGTTTCAAGATTGTGTGAGTTTCATTGTATTGCCAACCGCAATCTGAAGGCTGGGTCACGGTGCTATTCCCATCTGTTGGACAAGAAGAGTTCAGCAATGAGCTGGTCGTACTTGTTTCCTGTGGTGTGATAGGCGGGGTTTCTGTTGTCTGCACTGGAGAAGATGAAGTGGTTTCTGTCTTGAATTTCTGCGGCCCTCCTAATGGCTTTGTAGAAGAGACCATAGGTGATATTGGGCCCACGGTGACATTAGTTGGAGCTGTCTTAAGGTTCAGTGTTGGTGCTGGAGTTGTAGGAGCAGAGGTGAAGACCTTAGGTGGTGTTGGAACAGTGGTTGGAGCTGTCTTGAGGTTCTTCGTGGTCCCTGGAGTGGTAGGAGCAGAGCTGAAGACTTTAGGTGGTGTTGGAACAGTGGTTGGAGCTGCCCAAAGTAGTATGAGGCTTGGGAAGGCTACCCAAGAAGGCATGATGATATCAGCCTGTCGCTTTGAGGCACCTTCTTTACACCTTTAGTTAGAGAAATTCTGCTCAGCTAGTCTTCAGATGGTTCTCTGTGATGGGTGTTCTATAATTCAGTTTTAATTCTCACATTTTTCTCTTTTAATCTTTATTGTTGAAAGTATTACATATGTCCTCCTTTTTCCTCCGTTAACCTTTTCCAGCCCGCTCCTGTCCTCCCCGCCCCTCCAGGCCCTCACCACCCTGTTGTCTGTGTCCATGCGTTATGCATATACCAGTATACATACAAGTTCATTGGTTGACCTCTGCCCACCCACCCTCCCCTGCCTTCCCTCTGAGGTTCAACAGTCTGTTCATGCTTCTATGACTCTGGGTCTATTTTTGATCATCAGTTTATTTGGTTCATTAAATTCCACATATGAGTGAGATCATGTGATACTTATCTTTCTCTGACTGGCTTATTTCACTCAGCATAATACTCTCCAGGTTCATCCATGTTGTTGCAAATGGTAAGAGTTCTTTTTTATTGCTGTATAGTATCCTATTAATACTATAAATGTACCATAGTTTTTTTTTTATCCACTCATCTGCTGATGGGCACTTAGGCTGTTTCCAAGTCTTAGCTATTGTAAATGGTGCTGCTATGAACATAGGGGTGCATATACTTTTTGTGATGAGTGTTTCAGGTTTCTTAGGATATATTCCTGGAAGTGGAATACTGGGTCAAATGGAAGTTCCATTTTTAATTTCTTGAGGAAACTCCATACTGTTTTCCACAGTGGCTGCACCAGTCTGCATTCCCAACAGCAGTGTACTAGGATTCTCTTTTCTCCACAACCTTGCCAGCACTTGTTGGTTGATTGGTTGATGATAGCCATTCTGACAGGTGTGAAGTGATATTTCATTGTCGTTTGATTTGCATCTCTCAGATGATTAGTGACTTTGAGCGTTTTTTCATCTGTCTCTTGGCTTTCTGTATATCCACTTTGGAGAAATGTCTATTTAGGTCTTTTGCCCATTTTTTAAAACTGGATTGTCTTCCTTTTGTTAAGTTGTATGAGTTCCCTATATATTTTGGAGATTAACCTCTTATCAGATGTATCGTTGGCAAATATGTTCTCCCATGTAGTGGGCTCACTTGTTATTTTGATTTTTTTTTTTCTGTGCAGAAGCTTTTTATTTTCATATAGTCCCATTTGTTTATTTTTTCCTTAGTTTCCATTGTCCTAGGACAGTGGTCGGCAAACCGGGGCTCACGAGCCACATGTGGCTCTTTGGCCCCTTGAGTGTGGCTCTTCCACAAAATACCACGTGCGGGCGCGCACGTACAGGGAATGTTGTGGAGTGAAAGAAGATGTAGTGTCGAGGATTGAGAAAGGTATGTTGAGATGGTTTGGACATATAGAGAGGATGAATGAAAGGAGATAGATGAAACAAGTATACAAGATGAAGTGTGGATGGGAGAGTTGGAAGGGGTCAACCTCAGCGAACGTACCTCAATCAGATTGAGGACGTTTTTAGCAAAGGCCAGCTTAGGAGTACCCTAATTAAGTTAATAACAATGTACCTACCTATATAGTTTAAGTTTAAAAACTTTGGCTCTCAAAAGAAATTTCAATCGCAGTACTGTTGATATTTGACTCTGTTGACTAATGAGTTTGCCGACCACTGTCCTAGGAGATGTTTCGATAAACATGTTGCTATGAGAGATGTCTGAGATTTTGGTGCCTATGGTTTCTTCTAGGACTTTTATGGTTTCACGTCTTACATTTAAGTCTTTTATCCATTTTGAGTTTATTCTCGTGTATGGTGTGAGTTGGTGATCTATACAAAGACATTTTTGAAGAGATATTTTATTTAGACCTTTTGTTGTTTTTAGTGGGAGTGTATCTAGTCTGCCATAAGGTTGAAAACAGTTGTCCTTTATTTTGGTGTTAACATTAATACAGTATTTACCATTCATTTAAGGTATCTCCACTTATTCTTATGAACATCAATTCTGTTTTTCCTTTCTTGTATTTTACTAAGGTTCTTAAGTTGGGCATCAAGAGGCCTGAATTTTATGGTCTCTGAAACCTTGTTTTCTCATCTACTAATGGTTAGGCAACTGTTATTTCCAGCACTGGCCATGGTTCTGTGAGTTTATCCATCTGTTTGTATGCCTTGTCTTCTGGTGCATTCTGTTTCTCGTTCTGTCCCTATAATGCTCCACATTGGAGGGGAGTCTTAGGGAGGGCAGGCACACACCGGAAGGAGTTGCATTAGTGGAGGGAGTTTCTGACCTCTAGGGAATGAAGTATGATATCCTCTATAATCTGAGCCAAACTTTTGCTGTTCCCTAGGTGTCATCTGCCTCTTTCAAGAAGCCTGCCATAGGTGCCATTTATTACGCATTTCCCAGAGTATCAAGGAGACTCAAGAGAGCCCACACCTGGAGATTCTGGAGAGTTTTGGAGGAGGACTGAGCTCAATGCAAAAGGAGACCCTGCTGAAGGAAGAGACAGTTATCTAGTCCCGGAGAGTCTGTCCTCTAACCTTCATCAAGCTGTGTGAGTGCACGTGTGTGGGTGGCACTCCCTTCTCTGCCAGTCTCTGCTACTTTTAATAAGCTTCTTGTGTATCAAATGAATGCTCCACTTCCCTATACAGTGATTCTATTTTGATCATATTTGACTTTTTTTTTAATTTGGGATTTTTGAATTCTTCTGAGTCTCTTGAGTGATCTCTCTCCTTCCCTCCTCCTACCCTCTCTCCCTTCCTTTTTTCCATTCTTTCTTTTTTTGCAGGTGTTTTCAATAAAAGAAGGACTACTGTCTGTTAATCCATATCTCAAAAACCCAGCCTGGAGGGCAGGAGGGGAGGGAGTTATATTATAAAATGATTAAGTGAAATGATCTTTCATAAGACAAAAACCAAACAGAATGTAACCACTACAGGTGTTTGAGTTAGTTATATTAAAAAGGAAAAGTGATTTCCCCATACAAAAGTGTGACTTGGTACAGAAAACTTTTCCTTCCTTTTTTAAAATTCTTTAATCTTCACCAGAGGCTATTTTTTTAAAAATATATTTTATTGATTTTTTACAGAGAGGAGGGGAGAAGGATAGTTAGAAACATCGATGAGAGAGAAACATCGATCAGCTGCCTCCTGCACACTCCCTAGTGGGTATGTGCCCGCAACCAAGGTCCATGCCCTTGACTGGAATCGAACCTGGGACTCTTGAGTCTGCAGGCTGATGCTCTATCCACTGAGCCAAACCGGTTAGGGCCCAGAGGCTATTTTTTTCCCGTTGACTTTTTAGAGAGAGTGGGAGAGAGGGAGAGGGGCCAAGAGAGGGGGTGGTAGAGGGAGAGGGAGATGGAGAAGGAGAGAGAGGTGTGAGAGAGACAAATTGATTGGTTGCCTCCTGCCTGGACCAAGGCCAGGGACAAATCTGCAAACCAGGTATATGCCCTTTACCAGAATCAAACCTATGGCCCTTTGGTGAGTGGGCTGGTGTTCTACCACTGAGCCACACCATCCAGGGCCAGAAAACTTTTCGTAAGTATGTGTTGGGAGGAAGAGTTGGAGTGGCTAAAGGTGAAAACATCCCCAGGACTGAATTCCAAGGTCTGGAATCCTGAGCCGAATGAGTCTATGCCCCCGAGGAAAGCATAAAGCAATGTATTGGCATTCCATCCTTCCACCAGAGTCAGAAGCCTCCTGAGTGCACCTCTAACATGCCCTGTCCACATTCCTGATGGTGCTTACAGGCTGGGGAGCGCTCAGCCTACCAGCTAGGGTGGGAGTAACTGGGAAGTACAGATCCTTTGGGGCAATGGGGAGGCCAGAAAAGTGATCCTAAGTAACTGCCTCCCCACTTTCCTCTCAAAAGAACACACATGTGGAAAGCTCTTAGAACTTAAGTAGTGTAAATTCAAAAACAAGTACAGGGAGCCCTGTACCTCTCTGAAGAAATGTGATGGACATAGCTAGAGTCAAGTGGGCTCTGTTGTGACTGTTAGTGTTCATAAAAGGTTGACCTCGTGCAGTGCACCTTGGGGGTGCACAGAGGTATCAGAATCAGTTCCCTAGAGGCTTACACCCAAGCAGAAGAGCTAAGACATATACACCTGAAAAACAGCCACTAGGTGTTTTAATTATATTTTTTTCAGTTTCTTATATTTCTCTCCAAAAAGTATCTCGGGAATTTCTTATAGTGATGTGGTGACAGCCTAGTTCCAGTCATCTTGCTTATCTTCCTAAAAAAATCCATATAGGAACTATAATTATCAGTTAAACTAGGAATAGAGAAAATCTGCAAACTAAAATATGTAATTGTGGCCCAAACTGCCCTGCACCAGCAGCCAATATGGGAAGTCACAACTGGAAGAGTGGCATGCTGGGTCCAGTGGGGTGGGTCAGACAATATTTAGGGGTTGTAGTGGTGGCAAATTCCAAAACTCACTAGCAAATAGTAACCTTCAGGTGTCTGAGAAGGACCCACTCTGAGAGGGAATGGCTACGAATAGGACAGAGGAGAAACATGGGACATGTGTGTTAGGGAGACAGAGAAGGCATGGAATGTGCATGGGAGTCTATAAAGGGAAAGTTTTAGGAAGCACCCCTTGCAAAAGAGAGGAGACCACCTTGGAAGGCAAATGACAGTATCCTCTGATAGCAATGACTGATGAAGAATAGGAGGAAATGAGTGATAGTACACGCTGCCCCTTTGAACTGTTAGGATATACCTAATAGTTCAAAGGGGTAAGAACCAGAGGAATCCTGACGACATGGGAATTATATATTAAAGAAAGTATCCCTCAATGTAACAATGGAAGAAAAAGCCCTCATACTGAGAAACTGGGAATGTTCTGCTACCTGACTCTCTTTCCTCAGTATCCATCTGCAAATAGCTGTGATCCAGAAAAATTAAACTCATTCAAATAAAAGAGTGAAACAGCAGTATCAATACAAGAGCATTATAGGAAAAAGCAGAAAGAGAAGCAAAAGTCTGGCTATGAAGAAAACTCACCAGAAAAGTGTTATCACAAAGTAGAGGACAATTAAATCCAGCACCAGGGCACGCGAAATAAACACCCATTGACTCACTGGGCTGTAAAGCCCCTAGACCAGCGGTTCTCAACCTGCGGGTCGCGACCCCTTTGGGGGTCGAACGACCCTTTCACAGGGGTCGCCTAAAAGACCATCAGAAAACACGTATATAATTACATATTGTTTTTGTGATGAATCACTATGCTTTAATTATGTTCAATTTGTAACAATGAAAATACATCCTGCATATCAGATATTTACATTACGATTCATAACAGTAGCAAAATTACAGTTATGAAGTAGCAGCGAAAATAATTTTATGGTTGGGGGTCACCACAACATGAGGAACTGTATTAAAGGGTCGCGGCATGAGGAAGGTTGAGAACCACTGCCCTAGACGGAGAGGGAGGCGCAGTGCCCGGTGCATGTCTGCAGAGCCCTCCCCACAGAGGGGAAGCAGGTGGAAAGGCATGGAGGCGCTAAGGAGCCTGGCGACCGAGAGCCCGGAGGAAACCAGGTAGCTACGGAAAGAGCCCCTCGCGGTCCCACGGGTCCCTGAACGGGGCCTGGGGAGGAGCGACCATCGAGTCGCCCCGACCTCCGAGAGTCCTAGAGAGGAAACGGAAGAGACCCTTCCCTTACGCACCTGTCTGACAGCGTTCGCCTACTTCCGGTCCTCGGAGGGCACTGGGGAACTTGGCGCGGTTGCGGGGCCTTGGGTGAGAGTCGGGTTGGGGCCACGAGGCGCGGTGGTGGTCGGGGCGCCGGGGCCGTGCGGTGGTGCAGGTCGGGGACGGCGGAGGGGCTGAGGTTGCGGGAGGCGCGTCTCCTCGAAGCCGCCCGCCGCGCACCTAGGCCTGGCGGCGGGGGTGAGTGACGCCCGCGGTTGGCTCAGGTAGGAGGGATGCTGATCCCGCCCGGCCGGGGTGGGCCTAACGCGCGGTCGTGGTCCACGAACCGGAGACCTGGCACAAAAGCGGAACTCTCTGAAACGGGAAAGTAGTTATTGTAGAGCAACACGTAGGATGACGAATAGTTATGGGGCGCATTCTGTTTGTCAGGTGTCAGGAATAAAAGATGAGTGAGGATTTTTCTTGCCTTCTGGTAGGGAATCTGGTAGGGACACGTTTGTAAACTTTGCGCCATCGTGGGATAAATGCAATAGCTAGGAAGTCATGAAAGAGCAAGCTCAATTGATGCAGGAGAGAAAATGAATAGACTGAAAATGTAAAGTAGATTTAAGAAGAGCAGGTAAATCCATAAACACCTGATGGGATATTAAGCAGAAGCTTCGGATTTGCTTCCTACCAGTGGCTCATTCTTTGCTCCATTTAGAGTGACCTTCCCTCCCTCTGAAAGCCGAGCCCCTTACCTGCTTGGGAGTTCTAGGTCTGTTTCCCCAGCCTAAGTCACCCCCTTAGCCCCCAGTGGAATTAAACAGTACTCATTCTCCAGTGTAGTGCAAGCCTCTTTTTTTTTTTTTCTCGTGAGTACTTGATCCTACATTTTACCTTTATCTTTTTGGCTTCCCATGTTTCTCATTTTGGGATGTTGACCTTGGCCAGCCATCTCACTTCTTACATCTTCAGTTTATGCATCTGAAAAGTAGGGGAAGTAGTGCTCACTATTTTAACAGAATTGTTGTAAGTATTAAATGAGGGTATGTGTTCACATGCTTTCTAAATGGTAAAAGCTACACAAATTAGGACTCATTCAATCAATTATAATAATGGTATATATGTTGCTCTGTTGTCTTTAGGTTGAGCACACACCCAAGCCACCAACCAGTAAATCTATTGGGTTTACCTCCAAAATATGTCTTGACTTTGTCTGCTTCTTTGCCGCCATCCTGATCGAAGTCCTGTCATTTGCTTGGACCACAGTAAGTGCTGCTGCCCTCCTTTATCTCTCTGTTCTTGCTACATTGCAGGCAAAATGACCTTTGTTGAACATGTAGCTCCCTTCTAAAACAAGAAATAAGAGTAAAGCCCTTAATTCTTTTTTATTATTTATATTTTTATTGATTTCAGAGAAGAAGGGAGAGGGAGAGAGAGATAGAAACATCAGTGATGAGAGAGAATCATCGATTGGCTGCCTCCTGCACACCCCCCACTGGGGATTGGCCCGCAACTCAGGCATTTACCCTTGACCGGAATCGAATCCAGGACCCTTCAGTCCACAGGCCGACGCTCTCTTCACTGAGCCAAACCAGCTAGGGTCAGCCCTTCATTCTTACTGTGGCCCAGGACCTGGATAATTTGGTTTTTGCATGCCTCTGTTCTACTTGTGTAGCTCTGACCATGACCTGCTCTGCTGAAGCTACACTGCACTTTGGCTTGTTCTCTGACATGCAGAGTAATTTTTATTCTCAATGCTTTTGCCTGGAATGTTCTTTGAATGACTGGCTCATTCTCATCCTTCAGGTCTCAACCTTAGTGTCATCTCTTCAGAAAAGCCTTCTTGAAGTTGTTTGTCCCCCATTAACAGAAAACCCTACTTATTTCCTTTCTAGAACTTATCCCAACAGTCAGTTGGGATGAACTGGTCTGTGTCTCATTTGTGGTCGTTGTCAGTTGTCTTACCAACAGACTCTATTTGTAATTTTAATTTATTTGCTTACAATTGTTTTGTT